TGAGGATTCGCTAAAGGAAACAAATCCCAATATTGATGAGGATGAAATAGTGGAAACTCGCGATAAAAACTTCAGTAAATGGTTGAAACATCAAGTGAGTCAACTTACTCATAAATGTATATAATGTTCTTTTTAACGTTCATAATATATACTAAGTGATGCAACCATTTTTTCTCTTTGAAATCATTTACAGGTAAGTACAAATCAAGTTGATGATCAAATGATTAAAGAGATAAGTTATGGTCCATCTAAATTTGCAACTTCTTTTAATGGCTTAATAGTTAATGGATATAGATTTCATACTAAGGACTATGGACATAATAAAGCCACCATGAATAGTGGGGTATGCGTTCGGGGAAATATATATGGTGAGAATGATTTAGACTATTATGGAATTGTTGAGGATATATTAGAATTATCATATCTTGGACATCAAAGAGTAATTATCCTACGCTGCCACTGGTTTGACCCAAATGGTGTCACTATTGATGAAAGATATGGGTTGGTTGATATCAAACATAAATCAAAGCTTCAATCATATGAGCCATTTGTTTTAGCTGAACAAGCACAACAAGTTTACTACACAAGATACCCACAAAGTGGGGGTAGATCTAGTGATGAATGGTGGGCAGCTTGCAAAGTTAGACCGAAACTTTTTATGGCTGAGACATTAAATGATGAATTTGGTGGATCAAATGAGCTAACTTATACTGATTATTACCAAGATGATGGATCCATAAGAGCACACCAAAGTGTTATACACGATGAGACGATACCATTGTTTGATGGAATTGCTCCAATGGAAGAAGTAGGCAACAATGATATACATCATCCAATGGACAACTTGCATCATGATCACTTCATTGATGATATTGAAGATGATGAGATTGAAGATATTAACGAGTTCATAGATGATGAGGAATTATATGATTCAGAATCTAGTTATGATTAACAACTTGATTTTGAAAGGTGATGAATATATTCTAAAAGGTTTTAGTTTCAACACATTACACATAATTACTCATTTTTTAGTGTTAAAATAAGAAATAGATAAAAGGGTTTCTAATTGGTACTAGTATTGCCTTATTTGATTACTTGTGGTTCTTTATGACTTTAATTTCCCATATAAATGATCACTTTTTGTTGTTTTAATTTTATGTAGGTAATCATTATGCCAACTACTCGAGGAAGAGGGCGTCGGGTTAATCAAGCCAATAATCCTCATCAGCTCACTCAAATTGCTTCGAATCCTCCACCACATGTTTCTCATCACTCACCTCGTACACTTTTAGAATAACATTTTAATTATTAACTCTATATTTATTTAAATGCAATGGATAAAATCTAACTTTTCTTTACTATGTTTGTCTAGGTGATGGATCTACTAGTTCATTAGCTAATGGTGGTGCTACATCAGCTAGTGGTGGACAATCATCTGATACCACCCCCTTGATTAATGGTGGTGAATCAAATACTATCCCAACATCTGATAATCAACAACCTACTATGGTGCCTTCAAGTGAAGATTCTAATGTAGAAGTTGATAGGAGGCAAATAATATCCGTGGAGGCAGTTTCTAAACCGTAAGTAAAATTGAATTTATGAATATGATTAATACTTTAAATTCATGTTATTGAACTATTTGTGGTTTGAATTGAATTATAGGAAGAGGTTTGCTCAACAATTTGTGACTCGTGATATCATTTCTGAGGTAATGTCAAGGATGCCTTATGCTGCAGATTGTTGGAAAAGTTATTGCCCTGAAATGAAAGAAATGTTATTTAATGATTTTAAGGTAAGTAATTAATCTAATAGTATTATATATTATATCATTATATAAACAACTATTTTTTTTAGTTCAGTTGTATTATTGCAGGAAAAATATCGTTTTGCATCAGAATATGATCGTGTAATGGTGAGGGAAGTTTGGGAAAAAACATGCATGGATAGGTATTCTGATCAATTGTGAGGCCCGTTCTGCACCCTTGAATCATGGGTAAAAATCACACCCAGAACGGCCCGTTCTCAAACCAGAACGGCCCGTTCTAGTTGCATTTATTAGTCACAACTGCCATAGCCCGCTTCAAGTCCGTTCCAAGCCCGTTCCCACTTAGAGTTAAAGGCAGTTTTTAATAGTCCAGAACGGCCTGTTCCAACTTGAGAACGGCCCGTTCTAGGCAACAAACTTGCATATATTTTGGTAGTTTGGAACGACCCGTTCCAATTCCGGAACAGCCCATTCCAAGCTACTAAATCACCCCTATACATTTATAAAATTTACCAAAATACCCTCAATTTAATAAAATAAAAATGAAATAAAACTGGGGTGTTATAGTTTTGATGTCCGTTCTTCAAGTAGTTTTTTTCACAACCTAGAACAGCCCGTTCCAGTTTTGGAACGGCCCGTTCCAATTTAATTTTTTTCGGAGCCCGGAGTTTTAAGATCGGTTATAAAACAACCAATCTTAAAAGTTAACCTTGGAAATTAGTTATTTAACCGGTTTTAAAAGTCTAACTTTTAAAATCGGCTCTTTTAAAATCGGTTACGAAACCGATTTTAAAAGTTAAAAATAATCGATTTTAAAAGCCTTTTTTCCACTAGTGGTCGTATGTGTTGTTGTCTTTCTTCTTATCTTCGTCTCATGCTTGGTCCATTTCTTCATGTTGCACTAGAGGTTGCTCTTGACACACATCTATTGGTTCTCATGACATGCCTTGCCGTAACTGTTCTTTTACCAGAGTTGATCTTCTGGTTTCATCTGATGTTTGACACAGCTTTCCTTGTTCCATGTTTGATTTTGTTTTTGGCACTTCTTCTGATACTCAATTTCCTCTTACCTATAGTAGTCCTCATCTCGTGTTTGTTGAATATTCTTCTGTCTTAGATCAGACCTAATTTTGATGCTTGACTAGCCATCATCTGATTCTTGTTTAGTTTGCACAAGCACCATGGATTCTTGCATTTAATATCGTTGATCTTGCATTAAATGTTTGCTTGCTGAACCTGCGTTCCACGAGGTCTTTTGTACCATTTATTTGTTTCTATGTCTGGCATTAAGATATCTCTGTACTTTCCCAGTATTGTAGCTATAGAGGCGTTGTCTTTTGATGACTGGTAGGTGTACTTGCTCTGACACACGCAGTTTTGATTTGTGGATAAGCGCCCATCCATTTTTCTTATCTTTCTTCTTCTATTTTGATGTCTTCATGTGTTCTTCTAAGAGTATGGATGCTAGGTGGTTCGTCTCGTTGTATCTACAAACGCAATCCAGCATTCTTGATCTTCATCTGTGTTATTCAAGTCTCCGTCTGGTTGGCTGTGACTTAGTTTTGTCCCACGTCCATGGTCTTGTATCATTTGAGGCTTTATTATTTCCCTTCTTGTGCTAGACTTGATTCCGTTTGATCGTGTTATTAGCTTTTGCCCTTCAACTTGGTTGCTCATGTCCTTTTTTCTTTATTTCTTTCGTGTCTATGTTTGTGGGTATCTTCGTCTGATGTATTTCCCTCTATTTGATCAGCCTTTATCCAGTGCTTGGCTTATCTCTTGGTTCTGATGTGGACAGTAACTCATGCATATTCTCTATTCTTTAACTCGCTTGTACTTATATTTGAAACACTAACACATTTGTTAAAAATAACAACATGTATTATATTTGTCTCATTCAAAACCTTGCTGGAAATTGCTTTCATCTTCGTCTGACTTAACAAAATCCAAACCATTTTTCTGGGCAAGATTAGAATTTGTCAGGTTTCGATAATAATGATGTTTATCGATTTAAATAATCTGATAAATTCGATAATTTCAAACCAAATTAATTAAATTGTTTTAAATTTTTTGTTTAAATAACCTTTTAGTCCTTATATAATAGGGCATTTTTTATTTTAGTCCTTTTAAAAATTATTTTTTCATTTTCATCTTTGTAAAAAAAATTACTTCATTTTTGCCCTTAATGTTAGATTGACTGTTAAATTAAAAAAAAAAATTATAGAGACTAAAATAAAATCAACTAAAATTTGAGAGTGCCTAAATGAAAATGCCAAAATTTGAGAGTGCCAAAATAAAAATGAGTAAGTTAGAAGGATCAAGTAAAATTAACATTACTTTATAGAGACTAAATATTTATTTTAGTAAAATTTATGAAATTTAATATTTAAATACAATAAATGTACTAAAATAAGAAAAATATTTATAACAAATGCATTGATGAGTAAGAAAATTTTTTTTTATAAAAATTAAATTCACAACTTTGTAAAAGTCATATAATGACACAATCAGCATTACAAATGTACAAAAAATAAATATAACAAATAAGTATAAAAAATCAACATAAAATAAAGTAAAGATAGTAAAATGAATCATAACGCGTGTGTATGAAATAATAAATAAATCAAATGAAGAATGAAAAAAATTTCATTATAACATCGATCGTTTATATATCACACTCATAGTTCTTATATATTACATTTAACACACAATTTTTTCTTACTATTTTATATGCTCATGTGTTATACTACTCGTTAATTGACATTTGTGACATATTTTATGTTTTCTCCATTTGTTATATTTTTTTTCATAATTTGAAAGTGATAGCAATTTTATTGCACAACTTCTATAAAATTTTATATTTAAGGCTTAAATTTTTTAGATAATTAATCACCCAAAATTAAGATTTTTACTCAGTATAAGTAAAAATTTAAGTTTAAACTTTATAAATTTAGTTTAAATAAAAGTTTAGTCCTTTTAAAATAATATTATTTAAATTTTAGTTCTCTTAATTATAATTATTTTTATTTTAATTCTCTTAATTTTAGTTATTTTTTTAGTCCTCCCAAATTTTTGTTATTTTTGTTTTAGTCCTGTTCTATTTTAGTCTTATAATTTTTCTTGACTTTTTCCATTATATTTAACAATCAATCAAGGACTAAAATTAAAAACCTTCTATTTTATCATAACTAAAAGGTTATTTAACTTTTCTCTTTTGAAAATGTAAACATTGGTGTATTTAATGCAAAATTAAATAGTTTTACTAGCTAAACATTTAAATTTTGATAAAAATTTCCACTTATCTTTTGTCTTTATGTTCATATAATCCGATAAGTCCGATAATTTGAACTAAATCATTAAATTTGTTTGAATTATTATTTGATTGGATTGAATCTAATCTAAATCAAAGAAATCATATTTTAATTGGTTTTGATAATAAATTTCTATTTTGCAAATTTATTAATATTATAATCAAATCAAACATTTACTAAATTATATTTTTATTATTATATATTTTATTTCATTAATGATTAGTGCTTACAAATGGAAAATAAAAGTTACAAATTAAATTGTTAGTTTGGTTAAGATGTTGAACAATTTGATTTATGTTAGACAACTCCATTATATTTTTAATGGATACTTAGAATTTTGGGCTAATATTTGTTTATAAATGTTAGTGTATGTTGTTTATAGGTTAAAAACCTATTTTGGTCCCTGATAATATTTTTTTGTTTTAGTTTAGTCCCACTTTAATTTTAGGTCTCAATTTGGTCCCCAATAATTTAAATCATTGTAATTTGGGACTTCCGTCCAAATGATTTAAACGGGGTTAACTCGGACTGACGTGGATGTCAGGTGGATGCCACGTAGATGCATAGGTGGATGCTAAATGCCATGAATACACCTGGAACCAGAACGGTCCGTTCTGCATGCACATGTTATGTGTTAATTTTGCAACTGGAACGGGTCGTTCCAGATGCAAATTTAACACAACATGAGTGAAGCAGAACGGGCCGTTCTGAAACCAGAACGGGCTGTTCTGCTGTTAGAACGGGTCGTTCTGAATTCAGAACGCCCCGTTCCAGATCGCCAACTTCATACTTTTTATTGTATTTTTTTAAAAAAATACAATAAATTAATATTCATTTATGAATAAAACTAAAAAAAAAAGAATCAAATAAAATAAGACCTCCCAAAATCCTTCTTTGATTTGAACTTATCCAGTTCAAAATCTTGACTAAAATGCCGCAATGTGATTCAAAAATTGAAAATAAAAATTCATAATATATCATAAATTCAAAGATAGAAACATGGTTCAGAAACTGAAAACAAAAATTCAGAACATAACATATACTAAAAAAGTTCAAAGAAATTATTGAGAAAGGAAATCATCCTTGACTGTATAGTGTCAATTTGGTAGTAAGTGGTTCACTCCAGTTTGACTAACAATGAAATAAAACTTGTTACCATTGTCCTTAGTGATACACTACATCGTCCTTAATGATACATTGTATAGTCCAAATGTTTAGCAATTGAAGTTATCAATACCCATTAACAATATTACCAAATCTAGTGTTTGAAATGCTTTGTATTTTGGTTTTTTTTACAAAAATTTTGGAACCAGAACGGCCCGTTCTGGTTACACTGTTGGTGTGTTAATTTTGCATTGCCCGTTCCAGGTACAAAATTTACACACCAATAGTGTAACCAGAACGGGCCATTCTGGTTTCAGAACGGGCCGATCTGGTTCCAGGTGTATTCAAGTATTTTGGGATCCACCTACGTGGCATCTACGTGGCATCCACCTGGCATCCACGTGGCCACCAGTTAACTCCGTTTAAATCATTTAGACGGAAGTCCCAAATTGCAATGATTTAAATTATTGGGGACCAAATTGAGACCTAAAATTAAAGTGGGACTAAATTGAAATAAAAAAATATTATAAGGGACCAAAAGAGGTTTTTAACCTTGTTTATAATATTTCTTTCAAATTTCTACATTACTCTTTTAATAACAGATTTATATTTAATATTGAGAAGAAACCGTGTATATTTTATTCTT